CGTGTACTTGTTAATACTGCTTATGGTGGAAGGCTGGTAGTACGTCTACCAGCAGGTACTTTACTGTTTGTCCATCTAAAGGATAAGCAACTTGTTCGTCATAAAAAACGTTGGTCACAGGTAGTTCGTTCGTTGATATCAAATCAATGAAAAAACAGGTAAATAATAGAAGCTTTCAGGTGATGTACCTATATTATCTGCTGGGTCATCGAATTATGGATTCTCACATGAGCGTGGAGGATCGTCAACTTGAAGCAGATAATACATACATTTTAGCTATTGATGGTGATTCAAAATTTGAACCATCAGCAGTGATGAAGTTGCTAAGATTGATGAATGCAAAAAATGAGATTGGTTGTGCTTGTGGACGGATCCATCCTATTGGTGAAGGTCATTTCATTTCTCTTTTGACCTCTTTCATTCAATTTTTGGACAGAAATTCAATACTATTAAAAGCAAAATCTATGACATGACTGATAGCAATGTGTAATATTTCAGGCATAATGATATGGTATCAAAAATTCGAATATGCTATTTCTCATTGGTTCCAGAAAGCAGCCGAACATGTTTTCGGATGTGTATTGTGTGCTCCCGGTTGCTTCTCGCTTTTTCGTGCATCTGCTTTGATGGATGATAACGTCATGCACAAGTATACTAAGACTGCATCCGAAGCACGTCATTTTGTGCAGTATGATCAGGCAAGCAAGCAAGCATGCTACTTAATGCATTGAAAAGTGTTTTTTTTTTTTTTGCAAATTATTACGAGCAGCACATTTTATTAAGGGCGAAGATCGTTGGCTATCAACTCTGCTCCTAAAACAAGGTTACCGAATCGAGTATGCCGCTGTTGCAGATGCGGAAACGTATGCACCTGAAGGTTTCCATGAATTTTTCAATCAACGACGTCGTTGGACTCCCTCTTCCATAGCAAATACGGTCGATTTACTTGCCGACTATAAAGTAAGCTAACTGAAATGAGTGCTTCTCTCTTATAATACAAAACTCTGTCATTTTTGCTTTTTAAATTATTCCAGCGCGTCTGTCAAAGCAATAACAGCATATCCAGAATGTATATTTTGTATCAGTCAATGGTGATTGGTTTCAGTCTCTTGTCTCCAAGTATCGTATTTACCATGCTTGTTTATGCTCAGGTCGTCATTTCTACCTTAAGAAGTTCTTGTTGAAATTAAATGCAGGTAAAAAGTGGTAGATAAAATGGATCCATATCAAATTCTTATTTCTATATGTAGTTATAGAGGGATGATGGTGATGAATTTGATCATTACTAGTGAAATCATCTATAGCAAATAATACTTTTATCATCTTCACGATAATCTAATAAAGAAAAAAAAGTGATAACCAGTGCAACTGATCATCCTAAAGTATAAATTGCTTGAAGAGAAGTCAAAAGAATGAAAGAAGTAGTAGTTTAATTTAGGTATCTACATTTGAAGCAGAATCGGACAAAATGTTGCTGTACAACTCTTTACCTGTACTCACTTTTATTGGGCTTTGTTTCATTGCTGATTCGAATTCTCAGATAATTTTTGCCAAACTTATTTCTGTGATATATGGCTTTGTGATGCTTGCTGTTGCTATAGCTACAACCAATCAGATAATTCTTGAAAGTAATTTCACTTTTGAATTATTAAACAATCAGTTATTTTATTTTTATAATTTCTTGATCTATTTATGTTACTTTTCAAGAACTACGCAAACGTTTACCTTATTTTTAGCTGCGCTTTCTCCTACTCCAATCTTTGTGCTCTGCATGATAGGCATATTCGTCCTGGCTGCAATTCTACATCCACAGGAATTTCACAACATTTTCTACGGTGAATACTACTGATGACGATGTTTTTGCCAGATATTTTATTTTGCCTCAAACTTGGGTAATTAAACCCGACAAATCAACATTATAACAACGCGTAACGAAAGATATAATATAATTATAAAACACTAAAATAATATCAAAAACCACTCCAAAATGTAAAATTAATAACTATAATGGAGGATGGTAGGTTTATATACAGAACTGAACTGACAACCAGATATCCGGCAGAGGACATTTAAATGACGTGAAACAAAGATTGCTAACAAAGAAGGGTTTTTTGGTGTGAGAAAAAAGAATTAGCATAATGGCTTAAATGATCTAGACATAGATTAGTTACAAATACGAAATTATTTGGTGAATACCTTATCAGCCATCTGGCAAAAGTATTAGAATTTGAATGTAATTTAAATGTATCGTTTTTTTTACGACAATGTTGATATAGAGATGCTTTTTGTAGGTCTAATATTCTTCCTAATGATACCATGCACATACATCTTTATGTCACTTTATGCACTAATTAATTTGAACATTATAAACTGGGGTACACGAGAAGCTGCTTCAGTTGCAATCGGTAATGTAAGTACTACTATCAGCATTAATTATATTATACTGTATTATTCACATTATGATATTATTGAGAAGTACTACATTTTAGAATGCAAGCCATACTGAATTCCGTCGTCTATTGCAACGATTTGGTCTTCATAAAGTGATCGATTTTGTGAGATCAACATCATCATGGAGATCTGCTATAACAACAACAACAGCTACTACTACTGCTACTACTACTGCTACTACTGCTGCTACTGATGTACAAGAAATACAAAAAAAAATTGATAATATGAAAACGGAACTTCAGGAACTTAAGGTTGATTTACAGATGTCACATGTGTTATCTTTGTTTTTGTTTTTTTTTTTCTGTAAAGTAAAGTTCAGGATCGAAATATTAGTTTCTCTTCTGTTCATCCTCTCAACACCGCAAACTTTATCGCAAAATAAGGTATTCAATATCAGGTCAGTTGAATAATGGTAATTCTTGAAGGATGTTGTGCTCTCGTCATCACCTTCAACACCCTTTAAAAGGCTGGTATTGAGAGAAAACATGAATCGTTTTCTATGGATGGATACTGAATATCTCCAAGTTTGTAGTCGTGGAAGATTGAATGCAGCAGAGGATGAATTCTGGAATGGAATGATTGAACAATACCTCAAAGTAAAGTCATTTTAAGTGTAAAATAATACAGGCAATTTGTGAAATATTTCTTATTTTTGTATAGCTAACTGCACTGTTAATTTGGTGTGAATGTTTTGTTAAGTCGTTGAAAAGATTAAAAAATGAGCACAGCTAATTTTTGCAGCCATTGGAGTTCACAGAAGAGGAGATGAGACGAGATGTTGCCAGTTTAGTCAGTTTAAGAAACAGGATTGCATCTTCAGTTTTGATTGTCAACGGCCTATTAGTTTTAGCTGTGTTTCTTATACAAAAGCATAAGGAAATACTTTCGTTTCAATATAAACCGTACGGTAAATGCTTGCTTCTTTCTGTCTTTCCGTATTTTGATTATAACTTTTAGTGATTCATTTACATAATGCGATATAATTCAAACATCAATATTTTGCACTTCATTTCGATCTGTTATGAAAGTACAAGGTTCATTGCTAGTATTTTTTGGAATAACATCACAGTTGAACTGAATTAAATTTACTACAATTTTAACAGAAGGTTTCGAGTGGTCAAAGTTGAGCAAGAAGACAGGAAAATTTGAACTTACTGATGAGCCATTAAAAGTTGAACCGATTGGCTTATTCATCATAGCTTTCTTGCTGATAATCTTAGTTGTTCAGACATGCGGCATGTTTGCTCATAGGATCACCACATTAGTTGGCGCTTTCCATGAGGTGATTTAAGCAATTTAATTTTTTTTTTTCTATATAATCCTTTTTCGATGAGATTACTTCTCTTTGAATAGTTACAAATCAATCGTTGAGGAATTTGCAACGTTAAATTCAATTCAATTCTATTTCTAATTCCTACTCTCTTCAGGTTTCAAGCATGGAAGATTTCGACTTCAGCAATAAAAACTTTGAGAATGAGAATAGAATCAAAGAAAATGGTAAATTTATAGATGTTGCTTTCAATTCCAATCAAAAATCTGACACATTAATTTCCAATGAGTTTTAGTTACACTATCAAATAGCAGCTTTGATGATCTGAAGTAAATGTTTGTAATTTTGGTATAAATTTTAACTTTTAAGTGGCTTTGTGAGAAGTGCGGGTTATGTGTTGCGGTAATTGTGATATAATACATGGCTACAGGACGATATGATATGATATGATTTCCATCCAGCTACTACATTTGTTGTGATGGTACCGTTATAATAGCTAATAGCGATCCTTGACTTCATTTTATATCGAAGATCTGTTTTAGCCCAGCAAATGTTCGACGCAACGTTGTATTACAACGCACATGGAGCTGACGGATATATCCGCCTTCATCATGACACACGTGCGGCATGTAACGTTCTTAACAAGCTCCAACAATCGAAAGTAATGCATCGATCTGCAGTATCACGAGTTTCCAGACTTTAGTAGTTCTATTTTTTCTGTATTTCTCTTCCTCATTTAATTTTTCTCCAGTTTACACTTCAGTGGACAATTTTTACATTTCCTCTGAGATGTACCATGCTGACGGGGCTGAAACCTGATTGTAACAAGGTGGAGAAGTTCAACAAATCATTTTGTCGTGTATTCCATGTTCAAGTATGCTTTAATATTTTTATTATTCGACTCCCATTAATAATATCAGTTGTAGTTGTTGTGTTCTATAATTCAAAATGAATGTTGTATTTTATTCTACTTACATACTTTAATGCAATATTAAAAAAGATAATAGCCGTCTCGAATTATTAACTAGGAGAATTACATAATAGCTCTGCTATTACAGAAGGATTGGCTGTACCTCTTTGGCAGGATGATGAATATATAATTTTGGAAGGAAAAAAAAACAAAAATAGAGAAAAACATAGAGATGATGATATTGATGTATGATTAGCTTTTCAAATACACAATTAATCATCTCTTCATCTGCAATCTAAAATTTTGAGATTATCTGGAATTCAGATGAATTACAAGAACAATATGATATCGATACTAACCGCACCTCAATCAAGCTCGTTGAAGTTGGTTTTGCAGAGTGACAGTAATCTTATTATCATCATTAGCTGATTCGCCCAGGTACCAACGGCTAATAAGTTTTGCAATGTTCATATAATTCCCGCTGCTTAATGATGCCATCGTGATCAGAAGGTAACGATTCAAACATTGCCAGTCCTGAAATAATGTACCACTCTCGTGCTAAATTCCATGTTTTATCTACATTGTGCTGGAGATAAAGCTTGGATTATTACTTCTAGAAACTATAACATAGCTTTTGCATCAGCTAATTTATGCAACATACTGCATGCTGATTGTTTCGTCGAAGGTCACCAAGTATTTCTTCTTTCGGGATAATTGGTTTAATGAATGAATTCATCAGCTGATCTAACGTTCGCAGTAACAGAAGCATGTTGCCTCGGAAATTGTTACGTATGAATTTCGTGCAGTTATTCATTTGGAATGCACCGTTTTTGATTATTTTTGCATCTTTACAACTAGAATCCAAAATTTCACCGCAATTCTCCATTACTCCGCATATACAAATGTCAATTTCTTGTGATTTCACTTTCCTAAACATTTAAACGGTCTGTAAATGCATTCTGAATGTGACTTTAGTTACCCTGAAATTCATCTAAATTTTGAAATTATCAAAATTCTCTACATGCACAACATTCACATCTATTTCGCTAGTGTCTTAGAATTGCAGCAGCGATACCAAAATTAATGATTCGGTTGATGGGAGATATCAGTGTACGATGCATATTCATGGGATATTGAAGATTAAAAGGAATGAAACAGAGGTTAAAGTAAGTAAAAATTTGTTAAATTTTGAATACTAAGAATTAAAATATTCACGATGGTATTGGCAATCGTGCTGGCCATCTTTCCAAAAATTCTCGATCAATCTTTGATGTGCATTTTAGGACGTTTGTAATCCATTGTCGTGTCCTACCATCAAGTTCACCATGAACAACAAGCAGCAGTTCTTCCATCGCTGCATGCAACACCTTTCACTCACAATAAGTTATTTTGCGAAGTAAATTACAGCTAATTACAGCTTCTGAAGTGAATTTCCTATTTCATTTTGTAAAATGAATGTTGAAGGATGTCGTAAGATTAAAGATCATTACAACTCATTCTTTAAAAAGATATTAATTATCAATTAGAAGATTAGTAAGTTGTACCTTAGGAATATGATGATATTTCCGGGCTTGACTGCTAGAGAGAATTTTCACCTGCATGTGCATGTAATCATTTAAGTGTACCATTCCTGCTTCATGTGGCAAAGCTGCACCATGTTTCTCCAAAAACATTCCAAAGTCTTTTACCATCCTAATTTGCTTTCTGCTCTGCACCGAATTTGGCCTATCGTATAAATTGATTTGAAAATACCTTGCGTCAAATATGCCGCATTCAAATTAAAATTCAATTTAGAAATTCTAAAGATTTAAACAAGATTATCAATATCAAATTTGAAAGGTCATCTAAATTTTCTTCATCCTCCTGAATTCATTTGCCATTAATTACAATTACATTTTAATTTTTTTTTTTTAATTTTAGCTCTCTGATTTTGAACACAAAGAAGTATTACCTTGCAGTCCTAACACGACTGATGGCTTCTGTGTATGTGAAATGTTCGGCCCAAATCATATAAGCAGCAATAACAACACCTGTACGGCCAAGTCCTGCATGACAATGTATAGCTACCTTTCCTAAACAAATTTAAGAATGAATGGTTTCAAGCAATTCAGCTCTTCTCAAATATCATGAGAACATACCTTGTCTCAGAGAGCAGTGAACAACTTTTACAATATCCAAAAGAATGTCAATTCCAAGAGCTCCAAAATCTGGCCAAACGAAATTATAAAACTGTACTGAAACAGTAGGAAATACTTATGTTGAACAAATGCTGTAGAAGTTTTTTTTTTTTTGATACACTAGGCTTACTTCCATTCTGCATCAGTATTTCCGGATTATATGTGAAACCAGAAGGTAGTAGCTCCGGTCCACAGGAATCATGTTCGCCAAGCATTTGAAGATTGATAACTGCGCAAATGTTTGCTCTGCAATAGTAGAAATCGTACCAGATGAAAATTTTATTTCCTCAAAAACCACTGTAAAATCAAGATTTTTCATGATTGTTTGAAAAGCAATTTTTGGGAAACATCAAAACGAACTTTTGGAATTGTGCAATGAGATTGTCATCAGTAAATGTTTTAACAGTTGGTCGAGACATTGCCACAATGTTTCGAGTAATCCTGTAAAAATATTGTTATCGTCAGCAACAGTTGCTATTATTAGGAATTACAACAATTGATTTTTAATTATAATTAAACTGATAAAATATTCAAACCATGAGGAATATAATCCTCGAATAGCTTGTTCTTTCAGCGACCATGATTTCCATGAACAGTACTTGCAGTTTGCACCATTGCAATATAATTTACAACGCCATGACCAAGGTGTCACATATAGTATTCCGTAACGAATCGACAGATATGATTGTGATACTAGAAAATACAAAATCCAAAATGGAAGAGAAAATGTTCAAATAGAACTACATTTTGGGATTTCTCAGTTACTTCATCGATTCACTGTCGTATTAATTTGAACTTAGTTTCAGTTCCAGTTTTGAAATCTTGACTGTTCTCAAATTAAAAAAAAAATAACTTCACTTGAATTAACACTGTCGTCTAAGGACACATATAATTACTAAATATGCTATATTGCAATTGCTAGAAAGTTTGCATTTGTATACTACACGCAAAACATTGAGCATTTGAAAACAATTGTGAATTTTTTTGTACTTATTGCACTCAGTGATAGAAGAATATTTGACATAAATACCAACAAGAAGCAGTTGCTGATACGGAAATCAATATTTGAGTGTAGTGATCAGATAGATATCTTCTCTTATTTTTCACTTTATAATAAATTAATACGCATAAATATAATGAGGAAAAAAAAACCTTGTCCATAAGAAGCTAACACATTTCTCGACTCTTTTCGTCCTTTCATTAAACTATTTGAAATTATTAATTGAATATTCACAACTAATATCTGAAATAGAAAATTGATCATTTTCTGCTGGAAGAATGGAAATATTACTGATAACATTCACAGATCGAGATGATCTGATGCACCATGATGATTAAAGCATGAGGAAAGGCTAACCAGCGACAGCAAGGAGATGTAGAAAATTTAAGAGCAGTTGTCATGGAGATGTATCCAGTAACCACAGTTGGTTACTTTGTCAACATGGGACAGATTTACCCAACAAATGAGTCTAGAATTTGCAGAAGTAACTCACATCACTTTCTGAGTGTAAATCCATCATGGGATACTTAAACAATCTCTTATATAAACATACTATAATTAAGTTAATTCAGAAATTGATAGAACTCTAAAAGTATCATGTCGGATGGTTTCTATTATTGTCGGAAGTGATGATCGATTGCCAATTGTTCTAATTACTCATTACAGAACTAGCAATTAGCTAAGTACGTGAAATTGTGACAAAAATGAAGTGAAATAATTGATTCATATAAATTAATGAACATGAATAAGCTAAGCTACTTTCAGGCAGTATTTTAAACTAAATTTTCTGCCTCTTAATGAATGTGAAATTTGCCCAACGAATATTTCACTTTCCCAAATATTATCATTGCTTTCTTCTCTTCCTCAGACATTCTTTTGATTATACTTCAAATCAGTGCGACAGTTCCTTGAATAGATTTCAGTATATTTCGATCTTCGAGAGAGTATACCGAAATAGTTGCATTGCATTTGCAGAAATTTGGGGAACATATAGACAATCTGAACGATTCGTACTTTCGTACCAAAGTTTTTGGTTTCGTTCACGTCACATTCCAGTGCTGTATTAATGTCTACATGAAGCAAATCTCCCCTACATCAGTAAATCTCTCCCAAAATAAGAATAAAATTTTTTAAATCTTCCACGACACTGCACATTAATTTTAAGAGGAATGAATCTAATTTGAAATGACTCATTCTCGTAAATCATGAATTTCAGATTCGTAATCTCTTGTGTCCGTACCAGCAGGATATTTCAGGTTGAATGAAACCCCGTTCAGCAGTCATCGTTTGTTCGGAACATATCGTTCGTATTGCATATATTTAAGTTTATAGATGAGAAATGAAGAAAGAAAACCTGAAAACCTGTTGAAGCATTGTTTGCATTTAAATAAATGTAACTTTTGAGGTTTGGGAAATCGTTCTGAAATTTAAAGGAGGAATTCTCATTGTTTTCTGCAAGAATTGTTCAGTTTCACATAAATTGAAACCGGAAAAAGCGCAGACCAATCTTAAACATTTACGCTTTTATTTCTTATTTCTTGTTTTGTTTTTCTTGGAATATCAGATTCGGCAACTGAAATTTCTCTAGCATGTCATCTTACGAAAACTGAAGTATGACATATCTGCAGTAATCATGGGTAACGAACAGTGTCTTTTTTTTCCCTACATTTTCTTATACTTCATTCAAATTATTTGAGCCTTAAAGTTGGATTGAAAATTTAAATTTGAGGAGAGACTTTAAATTTTTAAATAAAATCAGTGTTACATAAGCAAGAAATATTCGGCTTACAGCAGAAGTGCATAAGTGATGTATCGCCGTGATAAATTCTCAATAAAGTAAGTAGCAATTTAGGTAGTAACAGTCACATGATGCTATTTTCATTCATAAATCTCGAAAATTTGGTGACAATACGAGCCACCCATGTGACATATTACTCAATTATTTCAGGTGGTCAGTTTTTTTGTGAAACATCACAATCTCGAGTATCTCAAATCACAGACATTTTCTTTCAGCCGAGTAACATTACTTCCCAGTGCACATGAGAAGCGACAGCAGGACAAAGGGTCCACTTGACATCAGTCTTTGTGTGTGTGTGTATGTGTGTAGACAAATAAGTTGCGAGAAAAATGAATGATAAGGTAACTGAACTTGTGGTAATTACATAGCCAATCGGTTTCTTTTTTTTTTTTTT